TACAGTGAAACTCCTCTAGAACGAAACCTACATGGGCGAAAATACCCCCTTATGTGAAAAAATCTTCATGCATTAACACAATTCCCATTCTCCTGCCCCCCATACGACGAAAAACCCCCTGTTGCGTTATACGAAATCATTTTCTCTGCTCCAGCCTCGCAAAGACATTCACTACAACGAAGTTTTATCCAACAGCGACCTCTACCGGTTCGTTCGGAAACGGCAACAGCAAACACCACACTGGTTTACATAGTGAACAATGTTTATTTCGGTCACAGCTGCGAGTTTCCTGGACTCAACAAACTCATAGCTGCTCTGCCATTGCCAAGAGGGACCTAACTGGAGCGCTTCTCTCTCATTAGCGCTCCAGTTAGCGTAATGTTTTTAGCCTTCGAGAGCTAACTAGGCCGTCGAAGACTATGAAGCGTCCCGCGGCTCGACGGACATTCAAATAAACGATCGTTTCCTCGAATGCTTTACTTGTTATCATGCTAAAAACAGCCACGGGACGCTTCGTAGTCCTAGACGGCCTAGTTAGCTCTCGAAGGCTAAAAACATTACGCTAATTAGCGCTCCAGTTAGCGTAACGTTTTTAGCCTTCGAAAGCTAACTGTGGCCATTTAGAACTACGAGGTGTGGTTGGTTTAAAAGTTCATTGCATGAACATCAGCTGAGCAACGCTGTCTTGGGTTAGGGTTAGGTAGAGACAGTGAGATGGTGGAAAGAAAAGCCACCGGGTCCAGAAGTATTTGTTATTGTTAGATTCAGACGAGGATGGACGTTGCATTGCTAAAATGGCTACAAAACTGACCTTTTGATGTCAAGCAGCTAAGACAAGAAGAGCTCTGATGCTGGAAGAGAGGTTAAAAGTGATCAAAATGAAAGACGGAGCAAGCAAAATAAATGACATGATCCAAGAAATTGATGTAAGTGAAAGTGAATGCTGATTGTAAATTTCGCAATTTCTTTACCTTTTTTTCTTTCTACACTGACAATATGAAGTGTCAAATAAGTGTATGCTCATACTTATGCACTATTGGAATAAAAATAGAGTACACATACGTTTGTGTGCGTGTACACATATGTTTGTGTGGGTGGGTGTGTGTGTGCTTACATCTGAGACCAAATTTGCTACAGTGAAAAACCCCCTGTTGTGAAAAATTTCTTGCCGCAAACACGATTTCGTTGTAGAGGAGTTTCACTGTACTGTATAAGCAAAAATTTGAAACACGAGTGCACTTGAGACCCCAGCCGCTAGATGGCGACAGCAACCTTCACAATATTCGGGCAACATTAAGTCACGCTGGTTTAACTCATGGAGGCACGGTACATGGTCCATCTCACTTTGCAGAGGTTGCGGGTTCGAATATGGCCTCAGCCTTCCTGTGTGGAGTTTGCATATTCTCCCCATACCTGCGTGGTTTTTCTCCGGGTAGTCCGGGTTCCGACCCACATTCAAAAAACATGCATGCTTGGTTGATTGAACGCACTTCTAAATCGTCAATAGATGCCATTGTGAGTGTGAATGTTAGTTCGTTTATGTGTGCCCTGTGATTGGCTGGCAACCAGTTCAGGATGTACCCCAGTTCAGGGCCGATTTATTGCTGCGCTGCGCAAGTTTTAGAGATGTAAATTGCTTCTGTTTGTAATTTCGAGGCACTTACATCTCTCCCAGGCAGTTGAGTGGCAGATGTGTTTAATGTGATGACATATAAATCAATGAAAGAATGAATGGAAATGAAGCCAAATTTGACACCCTGCTGACATTTTTAAAGTTAGTATCAAACAAATCCTTTTTAATCCCAGCAGGTGCACATTGAAGCACTTCTCCACAACGTGCCTGATGATGTTTATTACTATTAGTCATAGGAAGAGAGGATATTCCAAAATGAAACATCTGACTGGTGTGGAAAAAAAAGTCAGAAAAACACAACATTTCTGAAAAGTTGCAAATGAGCAGTTGGTATTTAGAGAATTGAAAAAAAAAAATCAGATGAATAACATCATCACTCGTCACTAGGTCACACTATGCCTAGTAAAGAGGCACATTTCCAAGTTCCTTTGTGGCTACTTTTCATCTCCAAAGACCGAATGGGGCTCTTTTCATGGCCAAATCACCTACTGAGTGATGGGAAGTGTAGATGCTGCAAATTGGCCCCTAACAGCTCATTTGCCAAGCTCTTGTGCTCAACGACAGGAGGCGTGGAAAAAAGTTGTTTCTTTATTCATTCTAAAATTTGAAATGGATGTCGCGCCCACACACACACACGCACGCACGCACGCACGCACGGGAATACATGGGGTCCACATTTAACGTATGAGGTCAAAAACAACGGCATGAGGAAAAACTTTGTCAAGTGGCACAAGAAGCACTAAATTACCGCAATTCTGTTTTTCATTCGATTATTTTATATTATATGGACGGCCAAGAAATGTTTTTCCTCAAAATATTCATTGTAATTACACTACCAAAAAAAAAAAAACGTGGCAATATTTTGCCTTCAGGTAGAATTTCAGGAAAATTTGAAAATGCACGATAACTTTTACAGACGAAATTAATTTGACCTGCTCTCAACTTTGGAATGTACATGTTCAAGTGTCTAGTTTTTAAACGTTGTGCGCAGCTCGATGTTCTATACACAGGAGCTCAACAGCAAAATTCACAAGAGTTTTTTTTGTTTTGTTTTGTTTTTCTGAACATCCTGATTAAAGCCTCACAATGGCGAGGTAGCCGATCAATTGTTTGGCATCTTCGCGGTCTCATGATGTTAAAATGTGAAAGGTATAATTAAGGGAACTGTTTGAATAAACCAATTCAAATTGTTTTGATTCATGCAGATGTCGTGAATTTGCATTCAGCTCCTTGTAAGAGAAGAGCCAGTTGTGAAAAAAAAGTAGTGAAACACTGATTTGGACATGTGCACTCAACAGTTGAGAGAAATTAACCTGGAAATAGTGCATTTGATGTTAATCCTGAAATTTCACCTGAAAACTGAGCATCACAAAAACTTTTTGTGAAAAGTGTCTTACTGCCTTAAAGGGTGTTCTGGCCTATGTACAAATTTCAGCTACAGATGATTTTCCTGTAACTGTCTTTTTGCTCCCATGCTAACCGTAGAACAGTAATGTTAGCAATGCTTGTGCTCCTCCATTTAGGTTTCCTTGCTTTAATTGGCAAAAATCAAGTTGAAGATGCCATTTTTTTATATTGCTTTGTTGCTACTGTAGTCAACATTGTCAAATTACGGTCCACATCTGCATGAAAACATCATTAACACCACTCTGCATTAAATTTGATGCAAAGGTACAGTGTTTTATACAGTTTTTGGAATGGATCTCATTCAATTGTGCTATTACTTAATGCTCATTAATGGTTAACATGCCTGAGGTTGAGTGTTTGAATCTCAGCTCCAGCCTCCTGTGTGAAGTTTGGATGTTTGTTGGCCATGAGCCATGAATCCAATATGTCCTTTATTTTCTTTGCTCATTGAACAGTGTATGAAGCTTCGCCATTATTGTTGTACAGTGTGATGAGATTTCTTATTTGTTCTTATTGGGTTCATTTACAACATTTAAAACTGACAAAAATCATTGACAAATAAACAATAAGTATTTGGAGAAAACACTTGTCCCGAAAGGGTTTGAAAAGAAGTATTTGTCAGTTCTCTTGAAAGTGGTGAAGTTTGTGCTCCCTTTCGAACGCTCAGGTCAAGAGTTTCCGAATTTCACCCCTTACACAGAGGAAGCAGTTTGAGCAAATGATATCTTGCAAAATGAAGTGGCACAGTTTTCATTTTATGCAGCTCTGGTGGATTGAGAAAGTGTAGAAAGGTGGAGGAGCAAGTCCATTTCACAATTAAACACGTTTTGTTCTGAGGCATGGCAGGAACAGCGTTTTTTTTTTTTTTCTTTGAGTACTTTCAAGCAGTTTCTTATCCTAAAACAATAGTTACTAGCCCTCATGGTTTGGTATATCAAATCAAAATTTAAATCAAAAATTTTGCAGAGCATCTAAAAAAAAATCCCCAGATAAGCTATCCATCACCTTTGTTACTTGCTCATTATACTCACCGTTGACTTCAACAATCAATGATTCTTTTCTTCAGTTATTTCATTTGCTCTCAGTGGAGGTTTGTGCGCTCCTCCGCTCCATTTGAGCTATAAAATGTAAACAAACATGCATACACCATTGAAGTTAACGTCAAACCAAAACGAAGTAAATATTTTTGATGTCAAATGCAGCTAAAATAGGGCCTCACATGACTGCTTTGTCTCTTTCTGTCCACTAGATGGGAGTGAAGCCAAGGAAGACAGTTTGTTTGAAGCCATTGGCCAAATTCTACACAAGTGTGGACCTCTGCCTTCATAAGGACCACAGCATGAAATAATGAATTCAGGTGCCACAGCCACTCATATTGGCAGTTTACTCAAAGAGTGCAGATTGACACTGAGATTAGACTGCAAGAGGCCATCTCGCTGGAAGCACACTTACTGTACATGAAGTTCAATGAAGTGAATTGGTGAAGGGTAAAAAGTCAGGGCCAAACAGCCATGTTGTCAAAAATAGCAGTGGGTCTCATCCTGACGCTTCTAATCCTACTGACCATCAGCGGCAACATGCTGGTGTGCCTGGCGGTCTGCGCCTCGCGACGCCTCCGCTGTCTCACCAACTGCTTCATTGTGTCACTGGCGGTGACCGACCTTCTGCTCGGACTCGCCGTCCTCCCCTTCTCGGCCCACCTGCAGCTCACCGATGACTGGCCGTTGGGCCCGGTCTTTTGCAACTTCTACATCTCCATGGACGTCATGCTCTGCACTGCCTCTATCCTCACCCTGCTGGCCATCAGTATGGACCGCTATTTGGCTGTGACAATGCCCCTTAGATACAGCTCTCTGGTACTGCCTTGGAGAGTATTTGTGGCCATGGCGAGCGTCTGGACCGTGTCGGTGGCCGTGTCCTTCTTGCCCATCTACATGGGCTGGAACACCGTCAATGGGACAGTGCAAAACCACGGCCCACGGGCTCCTGAGAGGACGTGTCGCTTTGAACTCAACAGGCCTTACGTTCTGACCGACTCCCTTCTCACCTTCTACTTGCCTCTGCTGGTCATGTGCTGGACATACCTCAGAATACTTCGCATCGCACGCGCACAGATCAAGCGCATCATTAGTACTCGGCCCACGTGTGTCACCACTTACAGCTGCAGGAGCCACCAATCGGCCATCACCACCGTCGCCTCCGGTGTCCCAGCGTCGGCCCTGCGGGAGCACAAGGCCACGGTGACGCTCGCAGCAGTGATAGGGGCCTTTGTGGTGTGTTGGCTGCCTTATTTCATCCTGTTCACAGCGCTGGGCCTACAGGAGAATCCCGACCCCAACAAAGTTCCAGAATTTTCCATTGTGCTGTGGCTGGGTTACACCAACTCAGCGCTCAATCCGATCCTCTATGGAGCCCTCAACAGGGACTTCAGGTCCGCCTACACGCAGCTACTGAGATGTCGATGGCCAACATACAGTGGGTGCCAACATTCTCCTGCCACAGTAACTATAGCAGGTACAGTCACAATGCTATGAAGTTTTTTCTTTCTTTTATTTAGCGGGGGCGGTATTCTTCCATCATGATAAATCAATGAGACAACTGCATATAGCCTGTGGATGGGCTAAAAAAAGATATATAGAGATTTTTTTTTTTGTTCAAAAAACTCTATTATGATAATTTGACGACATTCTACACAAACTATTGTAAATCTGCACTTGCTTCACAGAACAGTTATGGATAGAGAGTGTTTGTGAACAATAGCTCTTCTTTGTATTTCAAATTGATTCATATATGTTCTACAAAACGTTTTAAAACGATATTCTACAGCACTATTTAACAATGAAGATCCTCATATGATGTCTAGACTTTCAATGATATGGGAAAATATTTATATGTCACTTAAATGTCTCCTATTATTTCAAAAGGACAAATATCATTACATTTTGAGCTACAGTAAATACTGGTCTTCTACTGCCAAATACTAGAGGAATCAGAATGAGAAAAGGTGTTTACTACAGCAGTCAGAATGAAAAAATATATATATTTTATTCGATCTATGGTGATTTGTGCCACGTGAGTCACCCTGGAATATAGGAATGTAAATTGTGGTCGGTCCTTATCACAGATGTTATGAGAAATACGGCGTCTGGAACTGTTTTTACATATACATTTGTAGTGACAACAAATTCAGCCGCAAACTTTTGAAAAGACAGTTTTCGAAATTGTCCTACACATCCTACCACGTGATATAGTGGAAAATGTAGTTACGATGTGGACCACGAGCGGGTAAACTGAATGTTAAGCGAATATCGAACATCCTGGCTGTCACGTTTAACTTGGATGCATGAAGCAGAGCGTGTGCGCGCGTTTGCTCAATACAATGCCAGTGTGTTTTCTGAGTGTGTGTGTTTACTTAGCTCTTCTCTCGGGTTTGTGAAGTCGCAAAATTTTCCCCATAATCCACGGTGGAACAGAAATGATTTTTCACGGGGACCATTTTGGCACATCGATCAACGTTCTTTCCGACCAACGTCAGTGGTGTCAACCCCGAATCACTTCCACACTAGTTCGACTTGCACTTTGCGATTAATTTGCCCGTTTAGACAAGACACTCCTCCATATTTAAAACACGGCCGCTCGTTTGCTACCACGGAGTCACGTGACTGGATCCTGTGCGAACGGAAAATAATCCCTAAAATTTTGAATACCAGTATTTAAAAAATGCACTGAGTTGACTTTTTACTCGAGATGTCCTGCATTTTTCTTGCACCTGAGCCAAAGTCAAGGCACTCATTTGTGAATTTAGTAGTGATGGGAATTCCGGCTCTTTTTAGAGAGCCGGTTCTTTTGGCTCGGCTCACTAAAAAGAGCCGGCTCTTTCGGCTCCCAAATGGCTCCTCAGTTTTTTTGTTGCTTAAATTAGTTTACTCCCAAAAATAATGTAAAATTATGTGTAAAATGAATTACGAATGTAAAAAATATACAGTATATCAAATATTTATTATTTATATGGCTTTATATTCTTCTGAACATACTCAACATGGCGTACAACATGGAGTGTTACAAAAAATAAATTACAAAGTACAAAAACAAAGACCCATCTCAAAACAAGGTCAACAAAAAGTTCCAATCTCTGATTGTGCATATTTATAAGTGTTTAAATATTTACAGTAAAACAACATAAGTAAGCTTTGATTACCACACAACAAATTATCAATTAAAATTTGATATTGGATATTTTAACCTTGCACAGTCTGCACGCTGCCTTTGAACTATCAATTCAGTTGAAATCAGTCCAAATTTCATTGCGTTGCCTATCCATTTTCTCACTTTTCCACTTTCCACCGTGTAGTTTTTTCTCTGTTCTGTAGCGCTATCGAGCTCTCTCTCGTCTCCCTGTCTC